ATCCTTATGTGAACAAACCAGCTATTTAAGCTTTTTTTGTAACAAATTCTGGAAATCTGGATAAGAAATGGATATTAGATAAAATGTTATTAATAATTTTTGTGTATTAAAAAGAAAAGCCACAGGCCCCAAATGGCATCACTTGTCCTGAGATATCAACCCTAATTGCAGTTTCTGCTTCTCTGGGGAGTGGAATTTTAAACCAACCAGTCTGGAATTTCCTGATCCTTGAAAACGAAGTAATTTGCCTGATAAAAACCCCATGCCTTCCCTAAGGCAGGGTGGGGAAACTTTTTTCTGCCAAGGCCATTTGGATATTTATAACATCATTCCTAGGCCAAACAAAAGTATCAACTTAAAAATTAGCTATGGTCCTAGCCCCTTCAGCTCAGTGGTTAGAGCATCAGCCCAAGGACTGAAAGGTCATGGGTTCAATTCTGGCCAACGGCATGTACCTCTATTACAGGATCGATCCCTGTCCCCAGGCCTGGTCAGGGTACATTCAGGAGGCAACCAATAGATGTGTCTCTCCCTTCCACTCTTTCTGAAAGCGATGGAAAAATACCCTCGGTGAGAATTAAAAAAAATTAGCTGTGGAAAAAGCCCTAGATTTATTGAATTTCAAGTCCCACCTAAGGGCCAGAACAAATGATTCATACGACCTAAGGGCTGGACATTCCCCACCTTTGCCCTAACGGAAGGTGTCCTTGCCAGAAATAATCCACGTTTTAACTTCTTAGTCCCACCCTCTTTCTGCCTATGAAAACCTTCCATTTTGTACAATTCCTCAGAAGGCCCCTTCTAGATGCTAGATGAGATGCTGCCCAATTCATTAGTCACTTAATAAAGCCAATTATGTCTGTCTTCAAAGTTACTCAGCTGAATGTATTTTGTTGTTGTTGTTGTTGTTGTTGTTGGTCCAGCACTGAAAGGTTGCCAGTTTGATTCCAGTCAAGCACATGCCTGGGTTATGGGCTCAGTCCCTGGCAGGGGGTGTGCAGGAGGCAGCTAATCCATGTTTGCTCTCACATTGATGTTTTTTTCTCTTCCTCTCCCTTCCTCTCTCTCTAAAAAAACAAACAAACAAAAAACACAATTTAAAAAATCTTTAAAAAGAAAAAATTTTAAATTTATCTTTTTTGTTGAAAGTATTACAGATATCCTCCCTTCTCCCCCCACTGACCCCCTCCACCTCCTTCCACCCCCTCCATTCACAACTATTTTCTGAATGTTGTTTTTTAATAGGTATTACAGTGGTGTGATATGTTAGAAAATGTCCATGTTTAGCAGGAACACATACTGAAATATTCAGAGTGAAATGCCATGATATCTTGATTTGCTTTAAAATACTCATAAAAAAAAAAAGAATTGCGACAGAATCTTGACAATTGTTTGTGGACGAAAAAGGACCACATGCTAACCTGACTAGCTCAGGGAGGCTTGTGTTGCAAACTCGGAGACCTAAAGTAACCACAAAAGATGGTATGAAAATAAAACTTTTTTAAAATACATATATATCTCTATTGATTTCAGAGAGGAAGGGAGAGGGAGAGAGAGAGAGAGAAACATCAATGATGAGAGAGTTATTGATCAGCTGCCTCCTGCAAGCCTCCTGCTGGGGATTGAGCCTGACTGGGAACCCAACCCTGATCTTCTGGATCATAGGTTGATGCTCAACTGCTGAGCTATGCCAGCCAGGCCATAAACTGCTTTTAGTTTAAAAAGTTTTAATTTCAGCCCAGCCAGTGTGGCTCAATGGCAGGAGGCAGCTGATCAATGACTCTCTCATCATTGATGTTTCTATCTCTCTGTCTCCCTCTCCCTGAAACTGAACAAATAAAAATAAGGGGAATTTTTACTTCATTTCTTTTTAATCTCTTTGTGGCTTTCAATGGTGTTTGCTTCATCTAGGGCCACTTCTTCTAACAGTGGGGCACCATATATTCTGGTTTGCCAGGGCAGTTCCAGTTACATCCATTGCCCTAACGTAATTATTTATGGCACTATATTTCATTTAAATGTCACCTAGTTTTGGATGATCAATTACAGAGTCACCTTAGCCCATGACTGTCAAATGATTGCCAACCACAATTAAGGCTTCATACTTATCTGTTCATGTGCAGCTGAAGAGGGATGAAGCTGCTTTCCCAGAAACACCCAGCAAACCTTCCTATAAACCCAATATTCCGGAGCACGTATATGCCCATCCATAAAACAAACACCATGGCTAGAATGATGGGATGCATTAGTTGGCTTATGTCAATCAGGGCTCACCCTGAGAGTAGGAGACAAAGTCAGTCCTTGGTTCCTTGTAGGATGAGGCCGAGAGAAACTGAATGTGGGAAGGAAACCAATAAAGGTTACTACACCTCTCCTTGTCATGTCCCTGCCACTGCCCTAGTTTAAGCCTCAACAGCTCTTACTCAGATGTAACTTTGCAGAAACCTTGTTTTCTTTAATCTGGCTTTTTATTTTGATTTTTTTCCCCTTTGACTCAAACTGGCCTCACCCAGCCCCCTGACTCACCCACCTCCCTCTCCCTTGCTTAATCATTAAACCCTCAAGGACAGTGAGATTCTGGTCAGCATCTAGGAGCCTTAAGATCAAGGTCTTGGGTCTGTTGACTACAGAGATAGGTTTCAATCAAACTAAAGATAACATCTTGGCCTTAGTTGTGCTTTAGCTCCAGACTCAGGAAAGCAGAATGATTCCATCCAACAAATCCTTGAGAAATCAGACAGAAAGACTCCATGGCGGACGTAAGGACCATATGCAATGATCAATTATCCCCTACCTTAGCACCAGCCAATCAGTAGAGACCATGACCCTAACTCCTTTAGCCAGCATGACAAATGATTTTTTCCCCTATATAATCCATCCCCTAGAAGCCATTGGGGGAGCCAGGTCTTTGAGCATTAGCTCATCTTTGAGTCTAGGCATGGTGCCATCTCCTCAATTAATAAACCCTTACTTTTTTGGCTGCAAACTCCTGTTTGTGTCTTACTGGGCTTTGATACACATAGGTAAATGGACCCCTTCAGTCTGGTAACACAGAGACTTGCAATAACTCTTACTGATCCTCCTTCAGTTTAGGCCCATCTCTCCCATTTCGCTACCAGAATGACCTTCCTAGCATGTAGATCTGATCATGTCACTACCACACTCGACATGTTTCAATGTTTTACTGTTATCTATAAAATAAATTCTAAATGTTTTACTGTTATCTATAAAATAAATTCTAAATGCCTTTGCTTATTCAATAAAGCTGTTCAATATCTGACTTTTGTCTGGTTATCTGTCTACCCTTATCCATCTTCATTGTCTTCTTTATACGTTAAGCTTTAGCAACACTGAATTACTTGTAGTACTGCTTATATAAAATGATTTCTCATAGCTTGTTCCCCCAAGTCTACCTCATTCTTTCCAATCCAGCAAGTTTGTATTTATCCTCTCACGGTCAGCTTGGGTATGATCTCTCCTTCCTCGGTCTTTTTGGGCTCCTTCTCCTTTGTGCCCTCTGCACTTTGTCACACAGTAGAGCTCTCTTCTCTGACCATACCAAGACAGTGGTGGATTAATTGAAAAACCAATTAAAATCTGGGATCATAATCATGAGACATACTTTAAACATTATTTTTTAAAACATCACATAAACTTCTGTTTTTCAATCTATTTTTTTTATTATTTCCCCTAAAGAGCTTTGTTAGACTTTTTTCTAATGACACCATCTCCTTCGCCCCCTATGAAGTTTTAATATCACAACAGAAATACATGAGAGCTGTTCATGGACTCTATGTATATTTGCAGGGCCAAGGGCCTTTTATTTGGGTATGGGTCCTCCGATTCTTTCTAGCTCAGATTTTTTCAACAATGATAATCTATCCTCTAAGTGTTTGTTTAAAATAAAGGGGGAAAAAGACATTTTTAAAAGCAAACAATGTACAACCACACTCAATTTTTATGATTCTTTTCCCATGCCCACCATTTGACAGCTTTCTAAAAAAAGAAGAAAAAAAACCCTTGCTTTTATCAAGTCATTCCAAAGCATTTAATTTCATTTTTGTAAAAACAACTCTTTGTCCCCCATACTTATATTTTATCACTATGTAATGTTTAATTGAATTTTATCATTTTGAAGACAAGACAACCACACAACTTTGGGGGGGGGGCAGTAAGAAGCAAATATACATGGAAACAAACAGGTAAAAGAGGTAATATAAAGAAGATAGTAACTAACACTGTTATAGAATTTACTAGTGTTATGTCCGAGAATCAGATCCCCTATGCAGCGGAAAGACAATCACTCCAGAGCTGATAATGTAACAGCAAAAGGGACTTTTATTCCAGCTAGCTGGGGTTCGGTCGTATCCAACGCAGTGGAATTCTGACTCGAACCCTGATCTAAATTTACAACAAGCTTATATAGGGCTACAGTGAGCAAGCAATCATTGTCCTTAGAAGGGTTATAAAGTCTTCAGGAAGGGTGGGCTCAGGATGTTCCTCAACCACAGGCGCCTGAAGCTTGAGTGCACCTGGTATTCGTCAAACCCACCGATTTAAGTTAATTCCTGGAACTGCCTCCACCCTCTGCAGTTTACTGAGTCACTCATGTATGCCTTTTGTCCTGCCCCGGGGCCTAGGGGCCTGCCTCGGTCTTGGTGGGTCCTCACACTAGGTATCTAGCACTGTTCTAACTGCTCTACAAAAGTTAACTCATTTAATTTTTGAAAGGGAAGTGCTATTATTATCTCCAACTTTACTGATGAGGAAACGGAGGCACACAGAAGTCAATTTTTGAATTTTTGTCAAAAGTCTTTCCTTTTTTTTTTGTAAAGCCAGAATTTATTTCTATTTAAAAGTGCTCAAGAGACTTTAAAAAGGCCCAAAGGTGTCCAGGTGTAGTTTAAGATCATTCTGAGGTAGTGTCTTGTCAGTTCCTTCATTACTGAGTCATTAATTTGATCCTTGTTAATAAAATGCTCTGATAACGTAGTTGGATCATGGCGATTTCCTCTGACTCCCAGTATCTTTCAGAAATGGCCATCAGTTTGCAAATGATGAAAAACGTAATACGAGAAACAATCCTGAAACATCTGTAGATTCTACTTGAATATCCTTTCTGCATCATTCTTCGAAGCCAGGTCCAATGGTTATCAATCTGAGTAGCAGGAATCATGATGCGTGTCAACTGCAAAGACTGGCATTAAAAGCAGCTCTTTCAGAACAGACACCAGCAAAGGCCCTTCAAGATGAAACACTCGCCAAGTCTTTTTAAAAAACAAATGTTGAAAACATGTTTTTACTGAGATGTTTCAGGATGTCTTTACCAATGACAGCTTTTCTTTCAAACTCTATTGAACATAAATAATGTAATCTGTCTTTGCAGTGGTATAACTAATAAAAATAGGCCGGTGAAAATTTAATGTGGCCTCCCTTTCGGGTTTCTCAAAAAGCATTTCTGCTCCTTCTCAGGGAAGCAAGGGAAGTGAGTTTAGCTAAGTTGGGAAGAGATCCTGTGGGGAGACAGAAGATTTTATTGCTCTTGTTTCTTTCTTTCCAGGTAAGGTTTACCTTAGCGAAGAACCAAAGGCTGAGAACTGAATAGTCTTTGTGGAAGATTTTCCTTTAAAACTGACTAACAAGTGAATGACTTGTGGGCCCCAGTCGAATTCATTTGCTTAGTTCACCAGTGCCCTTGATAGTTGTACATCAGTCTAATGAAAATTACTTTCTGTAATATGACCATGTCTTTGGTCTTTTTAAAAAATAATAATTTGTTTTAGTTTTCAGTTACAGTTGACATACAATATTATATCAGTTTCAGGTGTACAATATAGTGATTAGACATTTACTTCACTTATGAAGTGATCATCCTGTTAAGTCACCATACATACACTTGACACCATACGTAGTTATTACAATATTATTAACTGTGTCCCCTGTGACTGTTTTATAACTGGCAATTTGCACATCCCAATTCCTTCCCTCTGAAGAGTCTTGTGTTTTTTTTATCCAGTCCTACATACCATCTTTTAAATTTCTTTGCATTTGTTTCCAGCTGCAATTTCCATCTAAAGAAGTCTTACCCCTTCTTTATTGACCATCTCAATGGCCAAGCCTCTGGCAAACCTTCTCAGATGATTCTGGTTAAAAGAAGCAATTCCCTCCCATAAACGCCGATAGCACTGTAGTAGTGATGCTTTTCATAAGTGCATTGTACAGTCACACAAATTACTTCCATATCTTTTTCCATTTTATCCTTACTACTTCCCTGAGTCAAACTATTGAACAAATGTTACTCTCTTTCCACAGATAAGGGGAAATTTGGAGAGGTTAATGGGCATGCTCAGGGACAGAACCCTAGAAAAAAATAGAATATACACTAGACTCAGATCTCGTCCATCCTAGTCCAGCTCTCTGTGTACTCTGTACACTGCACGTGCTCTGGCACGGATTGTTATCACTCTGTGTCAGCGTTATCTTCCCTAGGAGACTAAATTCTTATAGGCCCTAATTTCTTGGGCTTGCTAATAATAGTAGCTAAATGAATAAGTTAATAAACCCTCAAAACGTTAAATTCAAGAATAGGAAAAAATAAAGATTTCTTTTCTTGTAAGCTGCTTTTGCAACGGGTATAAAGGGCAAAAATTCTGCCAAGTTGGCACAGGAGTTGGAAACCACGATACAGGCTTTATGTGTTGGTTCATTTTTGCTCAAAAAAGCTTGCATTAAAAATTAATGATAAAGTGGGTCTTTCTATATCCAAGACAGTACATAATAACCATTTGTGGGGAGTGAGATTTATTCTTTGCAATTTCATCGTTAAAATAGTCTTTCCTATGGGGGAGGGGTAAGCAAATCCCATCTAATACTGCTTGCATGGACGGGAGTATTGTACTAAACAGAAGGATGACCAGCAGCCGGGGGTAGCCAGGACGGGCAGGTTGGGCCAGGAGCCCTCAGGCACTGCGGTCCGAGGAGACCCGCACAGTCCGCAGGCTGCGCCCGGCCCTCGGTGCTCCC